GATCAGAGCAGGGGTTCAAAAGTTTTGTACCACACATTTGACCAACCACAAGCATGGTTTTCATGCCCAAAAGAGTTCCACAGATTTAGGCTGTGCGGCCGATCTATCTTCTCCTCTATCCTGGAGATAATTGGCTTAAGTGGCTGTGGTAACTTAATTATCTCCAGGTACAGGAAATATCTCTAAGTCAAAAACTGTTACCAAAACCACATAGAAATACATAATTCTTATAATACAATGGTTAACCTATATGTCCAACATATCCTCAGATAGCTTGGATCTGAGCGCTCAATATGTCCGAAAAGCACTCCGATCCCACGAACACAGTTGGATCGCCATGGGGTTAAACAATAGTAAGGGCTGACGAGCAGCCAGTTTCAACCGGTCTGGCAGTGTCCCTGGGACAACACCCTGCTGGAGAACAATAGGACAGGAAAAAGGGGGAGGGGAAGAGGAACATTTTCCCATGGAAGTGCCTTTTTAGCATGTCTTTATGCAGAGTCCATATTCTTGGGGCAAGAGGCTGGCAATCAGGCCACTCCAGAAGCCAGTGGCAAAGGGTAGTTCGTCACAATGTGTGTTGTTTATTTTCCCCCTTCTAATATAGTATAAATAAAGATTTGAATTTTTAAATTACTGCCCATGGACAGACCTCATCTTACGTACTTCTATAAGTTCATTGACAGAGCTACCATGTACCCACTTGAAGACTTTCAGGTTAACCTTCCTTAACCACCTTCAGGTAAATTTTTTGGTGATTAAAAAATGTTACATGAGCGTGTTTAATTTTAAACTTGTTTCTGATATTCTACAAGGAAACAAGTAGCTTATTCTATTGTAAGGATGACTAAGCACATTTTACAATTAACTACATACTATTAAGGCTAGATTGTTATTCAAGACTCTCCGAGGTAGACTACAAATGTTCCCATGGCCTTGTAGGGGGGAAATTACCACAATTTTTTGTAAAGTGTATTCAAATTGCTTTGCTAAAGTTGTCATCCTTATACGCACTTAAAGGGAATCTATAGTGTCAGGAAAACAAAGTCGTTTTCCTGGCACTATAACTACCTATAGTGCTCCGCTCCCCATGGTGCAAAAGGGGTTAAAACCCCTTCTGTTACTTATCGGAGTCCAGCACCGATGTCCCTGATGACATCAGCCGGGGGGGGGAAGACCTAATGCTCATGCATGGCAATGGCCGTGCTCGCATTAGAAATTCCCCCATAGGAAAGCATTATGCAGTGCTTTCCTATGGGGTTTCAGGTGATACTGGACATCCTCATGCAGAGCGGGAGAACATTCAGCGTTAGTTAGGCGACCAAAAGTTGCCTAATGACCCAGAAATCACTCTAGTGGCTGTCTGGTAGATAGCCACTAGTGATGAAGTTAATCCAGGATTAGATTTGAGCGGACACCTGGATGTTCGGGTTTGCCGAGTTCGGCCGAACTTCGTCAAAAAGTTCGAGTTCAGGCTCGAACTTGACCCTGAACCCAAACCCCATTGAAGTCAATGGGGACCCGAACTTTTGGGCACTAAAATGCCTCTAAAAAAGTCCTGGAAAGGGCTAGAGGGCTGCAAAAGGAAATAAAATGAGAGTAAGAGTAGGACAAGTGCCCTGCAAAGAAATGTGGATAGGGAAATCACTTAAAATAACATAAAATACATAAAAATTTAAAATACAGCTGAGCCATAAAATAGCACTAGATGGAATCTTTGATTTTAGCTTTGGAAGAACATAAATCAAAATCTAAAGCATGGCTCTCAGGAGGATCACCAGAATTATCCATTTGAGAGAGGGTTGGAGTGTAGGGTATTCTCTTTCATTGTTCAAACTGAGCTTAACTCCTGATGCATGGAAAAAAGGCCTTCACAAGCCTCTGCTATTGTGTACATAGTTTATACTAAGTGACCCATAGGTTGAGGAAGTGGTGACCGTGGCGGTGTAGGTGGAAGCGGCAGTGGAGGAGGAGGTAGTCAACACGGTTTTTTATATATATATATATATATATATATATATATATATATATATATATTTTTTTTTTTTTTTTTTTATTTTAATTGGGGTAGCCCCCAAAATATTGGGACATATAAAAAAAATAAACATTTGCGGCCTGCTGTGCATTTCTGCAGTCCAATAATGCCATCAGGTTTTTAAAACTGTCCGTCTCCACCAGACGAAATGACCGCATTTCAAAGGCCAGGAATTTTGAAATGCTGACATTCAGGGCCAGGGATCGCGAGTGGGTAGGGGGGTACTTCCTCTTTCTCTCCAGTGTTTGAGAGATGGACAGCTGAATGCTTCCATGGGACAGTGTGGAAATGCCGGACAATTGTGTACCTGGCCTATGCTGGTGCAGGAACCCACACTCCGAACCACTTGTGAATGACTGGCCTGATAACCGTGGAAATTACTCCTCTTCCTCCTCTGACACATCCTCTTCCATCATCGCCCAAAGCGTTTTTTCAAGGAGACATAGATGCGGGATAGTAAGGCTGAGAATGGTGTCATTGGCACTGGCCATGTTGGTGGAGTACTTGAAACAGCGCAACATGGCACACAGGTCTCGCATGGTGGTGAAGTGGTGCTGTTCCGCAGAGCGACTGACCCGTGCATGCTGCAGATGAAACTTCACTATCGCCTGCTGCTGCTCACACAGTGTGCAAGGTGGAGTTCCACCTTGTGGGCACATCGCATATGAGGCGGAGAGCGGGAAGGCCGAAGTTACGTTGCAGCGCATACAGGCGAGCAGCAGGGTGAGAACGCCGAAAAGCACGCACAGACGGCCCGCACTTTCTGCAGCAGCTCTGATATATCTGTGTAGTTTTTCAGGAATTTCGGCACCACTAAATTTAGCACATGCGCCAGGCAAGGGATGTGCGTCAAACCGGCTAGGCCTAGAGCTGCTACGAGATTTCGCCCATTATCGCACACTACCAGGCTGGGCTTGAGGCTCAGGGGCAACAACCACTCATAGGTCTGTTGTTCCATGCCTGTCCACAGCTCCTGCGCGGTGTGGGTTTTTTCCCCCAAACATGTTTTAAAACAGCCTGCTGTTGTTTCCCCCTGGCTGTGCTAAAGTTGGTGGTGAAGGTGTTACGCTGACCGGATGAGGAGATGGTAGAGGAGGAGGCAAAGCTGTGTACCCAAATAAAGATTGTCAAACGTTGTATCCTGGAACTGTGTCCCATCCGGTTACTGGGGAAATGTGTCTAACCTATTCTAATCAAATGGGATAACCATCGGTTATCCAGGTCCCGCTTCAATTGTTGGCAAGTGGCGGGATCCTATGTCCCTGCCAACAGACCCATGGACTACAGTGCTCTAAGGCGACCTACACTGCAGGACTTGTGTGGAGCCAGAGGAATAACGCCTGGTGGGTGTAACAAGGCCAAATTGACTGCTGCACTCATGGAGGACGACCAGGCACGCAGTGAGTCAACGAACCCCAGCCAGGGGCGGGAGATGAGGAGGAAGTGCGCAAGGAGGTAGACTGGCGCCTGGCATATTACCGAGAGCCACCCTCAGAGGAGATCGTCAGCAGGACCTTTTTGGAGGTGCAAGCCTATGTCCTTGCCAATAGACAGAGTGTGACCTCCATGAACCCAGATGAAGGAAGAAGGGCGGAGAGGGTGCCGTGAAGCACAACCACCCTGGCCCACAAGCTACCATACAATGCCTTCAAAGAGTTCAAGGAAGCAGGAAGGCAATGATGACTTTTTTACAAGACTTTGACAGTGCCTACTCCAAGACATGGTCCCCAGCGACTGGGTCACCATCCTGGCCAGCAAACTAGTGGGGAAGGCAGTGGATATTTACCGGGCTGTACCAGAAGAGCAGATCAGAGACTATCCCTTTGTTACACAAATCCTCCTGGCCCGGTATGCGGTCACCCCCGAGCAATATTGCCAAAAGTTTAGGGAGACCTGGAAAGGGGAGAAGGACTCCCATGCGGAGTGGGCATGCCGCATCACAAGGTCCACCCAGAACTGGCTCAACTCCCATCAAGCCAAGTTCCCGGAGGAGATCACCCAGCTCGTCATGCTAGAGCAATTTTTCAATGGGCTCCCCAACGACATGGCTGCCAGCCCCAGACCCAAGAAGTATTGGTATGAGCTGCTGAAGCAAGCTCATTATATCCCTTTGGCAGGGCATTTGGGCAGTAGCCGGACAGCGTCTCGGCTCACCCAAAGCTTCTTCTGGCCAGGCATCTCTCAGGATCTGAGGCAGTACTGCCAGATGTCTGCCAGAAAGTGGGGAAGAGAAAGGACCGGCACAGGGCCCCCATCCATTCCCTACCTATTAGTGAAGATCTGTTCGGCAGAGTGCGTCAACATTATGGGTCCCCTAGCCAAGCCTAGTCCCTCTGGGAAGAACTACATTCTGGCCATCATGGACTACGCGACTCGGTATCCTGAGCAGTATTCGGGCAGAGACTGAGGCTGAAGCCTTGATGCGAGTGTTCTCCCGGATGGGTTTTCCCAGGAAGATTCTCTCAGACCAAGGCACCCAGTTTACTGCCGAAATGACCCACCAACTGTGGAGATTGTGCACATTAAACCAGTCCTGAGCTCTCCTTACCACCCTCAGACCAATGGCCTGTGTGAGTGCTTCAACGATATGTTGAAGCAAATGCTCCGTACCTTTGCGGCGACTCACAAGGATTGAGAGAGATTCCTACCCCATCTCCTGTTTGCCTATCGGGAGGTGCCACAGGAATCGACAGGGTTCTCCTCGTTCGAACTGCCATGCCAGGGAACTCCTTGGAGCTGGCTTTGGTGTGCTCGGTACCTGGGTGCGGTGGGCAGTAGCAGGCGTACTGTCTAGGGGATCGCTTTTGCACCCTGCTCTGGAGTAGGAGGAGGTGGATGTAGAGTAGGTGGTTGAGGAGGCGGTGACCGTGGTGGCGACGACGCATTCGGATGTCTGCCCTATCAACTTTCGATGTTACTATCTGCACCTACCATGGTGACCACGGGTAACAAAGAATCAGGGTTCGATTCCGGAGAGGGAGCCTGAGAAACGGTTACCACATCCAAGGAAGGCAGCAGGTGCGGAAATTACCCAGTCCCGACGCGGGGAGGTAGTGACGATAAATAACAATACAGGACTCTTTCCAGGCCCTGTAATTGGAATGAGTCCACTTTAAATCCTTTAACGAG